AGAGGGTGTATCGCCAACTGTTGCCTTTATGGGGGTGGGGGGGGGGGGGGGGGGAGGGGGGAGGGTGTGGGTGAATCAGTGGGAGACTGTGACAGCTGAAACTACCAGCCTTTTTGCAATGGGAAAGGGGCACTCTCCGCAGAATGGAAGCACTTTTGACTTGAAACAAAATGGGCCTCTATGCCTCACAATTAAAATGCAGATTCGATTGACGAAGATCCAGATATACACCTGCGACTTAAATGTGACCATTTTTGTACTTAACATCGTCCCAAACATAGTCTGATTTGGAACAGCTAAAGAATCCGACAAAAAGCGCCATTGCATCATGTGGATTCAATTTTCAGTGTTCACAGCTATAATGCAGTGCTCTTTAAAATAAAATGCAATCCATTTCATCTGATATGAAGCAAGATAATTCTTCGCAGTATTAAGGATACATACGATGAATTTTGTATATTGATAATAATTAAGATCGATTATGGGAGCATGCAGTGGTCAATTTCGCTTAGTCAAGCTTTTAAAAACTAGGGTTACACAAGGCATTCTGCCACTGACGTGTGACATGCTGTCAAACTGTTGCGTAGATTAAGTTATTGCACACTTTGTTAACGCAAAGTAATCAACTAGGAACTGCTTTGCTTATATCATCCTAACCCCAAACATTAAAGTGTATTGAGCTTTCCAATCGCCAGCTACATTTGTGTTGGGCGCCGCTTCTGTCCTATCTATAAAACAATACAATCTACAGCCAGACGTCAGCATTGCATATTGGTCTATAGTCCATCCAAGTCGAATAAAAGAAGAAAGCTTAGAAGAGGAAATGTGTCCAAGACATGTGTTTAAAATACAATAATGCAAGTTTTTCTTTTAACGGAAACGCAGATATGACATGGAAATCTTGTACAATAAATACAACTGGAACTGAAGAAGTTCAGAGCAAAATACACCTGTTGCACCAGTTAGCGAGTTTTGATGAATTAACATTTAAGTTGGCAGCGCAACTTCTACATAAACCAAGGGTTGTTCAGATGACCTCAGAATGCTTTTATTGCTTACTGCTTACTTTAAAGATTAATCACGCCAAACACCACTCAAAGACTGATTGGGAAAGGGTTTTGGAAGATCGCCTGGTTCTAAACAATCGCCAATTATTTTAAAATTTACCTCGCCACCTCGTGCTCTTTTGAGTAAATCCTTCCCCTGTCTGTGACTATTGTACTTAAAATCGAATGGATTTCAACAGATGAAAGCGGCAGCAAAGACTGAAACAGAATTTTCATAATCACAACGTTTCGTTGAATGGAACAAGAACTAAACAGATATAGATTTAGTAATAAGTTTAAAAAGTATGATTGAAATGCACATATGTATACAGAACACATACTTATGTGTATGTCACGTTTCCTACAGGTTTTGCACAAGCACTTTACTACGCGAATGCATCCTGTATATAAATGAGAGTTTTGCAAGTGTAAAGAATGACAATTATGCTTCTGCACTATCAGAGACAAAACATGGGCGAGGTAGCTGAGAACCTATGAACCGCTGGTAACCGGCAGTAGTTAAAGGTGTCACTGAAAGATATAGATAAAGGAGACAGAAATTAATGCAGCTTGATATCCCCACAGCAGGGACCTCCCGACCAGCAAATTTAATTCACTGTAAGCTGACGCGGTTTTTGGCCAGCGGAAATAAGAATTAATAAGTGGAAAGGAAAGTGGGTTCTAAGGAAATGAGTTACTAAAATATAAGTTCGAAAAATATGAGATACGGGAGAACTAAATAGCCAGATCCAGGCTGCAATAATGAAATTAAACAAATCAAAAATGTACTAGCTCAAGATATATTGTTTATAATCTCATTACACTTTAACTCTCATCTGCCTTTCCCCCCACATATTTCAACCATTTTTTCCGGTGGAACTTAATGGAATTGAATACAATGAGGGACTTGGTTCAAACCAGGCCTTACAAGCAACTTCTCCAGATTAAACTGAACTGTTATGAAAAACAACAGAATAATGTTTCCTGTATCATGTAATTCTCTCAAGTGACTCTCCTGGTATCGAATGCAACAAGGATTATTATCTGACTTCATTCCACGAAAAACCTCTAACTTAGAAAATTAAACACTAGACTGGGCTTCACTGCATTGTTTTTATTATTCGAATGTGAATCATTCTGGGTTCCACTCTGTGCTAGATGCAGGAATCAACATCCAGCCGGCTTGTTTGTTGAGTCCTCATCGCTGTTTAACCAACAGCACATTTTATATGTAAGAATAAGAATTTCAGGAATCACGTGTTTTATGTGCTACAGCTCTCTATCTTACCAACAACTCTAATGCTCGCTTAGCCCCTATTTTGCATTAGTGCCGCCGTATTTCTTTATCGGCACTGTTCTTGGTAAACGCAGCTGCCGAGAAATCGTCCACTTGGACAACATACCTCCACCTATCAATTTCTGGTATTCGGATCAAGAATTACCAATGCGATGCTGCGCTAACGCACAGCTTCCTATTGATACACAGTGCACATACAGTTTAACCGAAAAAAAATCAACGCAGCGGCGGAAAACAACAATAAGAATAATAATAACGGCACATGATCAAATTTTCCAAGATCAATTTGTAATATAACACTTAGCAACGTCACATACCGAGCTGTTAAAAAATCCACCCAGAATGTGCCAACAATCTAACATGCCTTATCAGCTCTCGTGGTTATTTTATATTTTAAAACAAGAGCAGATCTCTATGCGCCTCGCATCTCACCGTATCAGCCTCCCCAGATCCAGCTTCGTATTGACAGTGGAAAATATCTGGAATAGATTAAACATGCTGGACCAGAAGATGCAAACAGGGTGGGTTTACAACAATAATATCGCACTTCAGTGTTAGCTAGTCATTTGTAAACAACAATAAACCATCAAATTGTGGGGAACGCTAATATATTAATAAACTGGACTTGGTACTCGTCTTTTCGAATACTTCAAAACCGATTTCTCATTTATTCACCCTGTGCTCTTGAATAATAATACAAAGTGAAAATATGCAGTTTTGATTCCAATGGCCACATTCTTAGTGGGATGCTGCTGGAATAAATCGTGCAAAGATATTTGTGAAAAAAAAAACCCTGAACAGCTGTGAATCTTGCTGCAACTCAAATACGCGGCTGACAATCCTCGCCCTTGGTAAGTGAAATGTTAAATGCCAATAAACTCATTTGTGATATCTATTCTTCTTTTTCTCCATTTTAATATATTCCCTAAATAAGAAACGTAGTTTGCCAGCAAAACTGTACAGGGAGTTATTAGACAAGACATCTTTGATTAAAAAATATACATGCAGACGGCCTTATTCCACTGGGTCTTATTTATAGAAATGCAGAGTAAACCAGTTCAAACTATATCAACACAACCCATTCAATGAAGCTGTGACCTGCGCCTGAACTTGTTTGAAATTTCCTTTATCTTCCCCCCAAACAGTTGGAACATTTTAAAACTCAATTTCAAACTGACTGATTAATGACCAGCATTTTCTTTTGATAAAGTTAATTTATGTTCTCAGAAATAAAGAAAACTAATTATTTGAAAAAAAATGTGTAAATTCAAACAGACAGAAGCAAAGGCTTAAAATTTTGGACAGTCCTTAAAAATAGAAAGCAGACACATGACCAACATCCAAACTGAACACGGGAGTTAAGCGTTAAGAGTTTAGCTATTTCTGATAATACATAGATTACACAAAATATGATTTAATTTAAAAATTCATTATGTAATTTTAACCTATATACTACTTTCAGAATTAAGGGCACGACGACATTAGATATTAAAGCGTAATTCAATTATATGGCAATTAATTTAAGGTTCATAATAAATGCTCTATCTATGTCTTTAACAGACTGACACTTCTTTGTATTTTGTTGAAGCACCGTCTTTGTACACCAGACACACGAACCACAAAATCGTTTGACTCTAACAAATTTATTTCTTGAATTATCTTTTACGGAATCACTACTCAAATTAAATTACAATCAAATTATCACATCAAAAGATACCCTTATTACCTAACAACTGTCCATTTTTTCATCGCATTTATTTGTGCTCGTTTTGAAAACATCTAATACAAGATCTGGGGAAAAATAAATTACCGTTTTGCAGCAGTTCATAGGTATTCTGAATAAAATATTAAAAGAAGTCAATTCTGATGAAAATATAAAGTAAATATTTTTAGATCAGTAACTGATCTACTGACTCTATATTGCGTCTTTGAAAAGTCTATATTGAAACCTACCAAGAACACTGCTTGGAAATGGCAGTTTTATACAGTCGCATCCACAGCACCCATTCATTCAACTTGGCAATGTTTTTTTTAAGAGGATAAGTTCAGTAAGTGCAGCTGCAGATGGTGGAGATTTTTTTTCTCTTTCTTTTTTATATAAAAAAATGCTTCTACTCCAATGGGCTGGAGATGAAATTAGAAAACATTCGGGCTAAGTTTTTTTTGGGGGGGAAGGCGGGTGAGAAGAATGAGGTCGAAGACAACATAATGAACCAATCATCAAAGCCACATCTGGGACAATTTCTCGCCCAAATCCCCTAGTCTTTCTTTTGTCTTGTCTTTTCCGACAAACCTCGCTGCAGAAAGTTCCATCTGTCATTATTTTTGGATCAACCCATTTAATTGTTTTCTCTTGAAATTTCCCCTGCCTTGCAGGTTTAATGTTGCTCTGAAGTTTCATGTTTTTAAGACCCCCTTTTACCGGTCTTTTTTATTCGATAGTCAGTACGGATTAGCTCCCTTTCTCCTGCAGATTACAGTGTTTTACATAAGGGACAGTCTTCAGTATTTCAACCTACAGAATGAACGGTTTTTCTATCTCAGTGTTGTTGTCTATGCACCTGATATAGCCAAGAAAAGCCAGCCTCTGGAAATACACCAGGCACCGTCCAGCGCCCACGGCCGATCCGAGCTCGCTGGACCAAATCTGAAATTATTTCATAAACCAGTCTTTCTGAAACACCAGACTAAATGTAGAAACACTTATCTGGAAGTATCTGGGGTCCACCCGTCGATCACCACAAGCCGGGGGGGTTCAGAAATATTTGTTTTTTTTAATGAAAAGACATCTGCAGTTTTGGTGCACTCATTCTATGCAATCGCCAGCCTCACAATCACAGTAGAAAACCTGCTATCAATGCGATAGTCCTGGACTTGTTGATTTCGTTTTGTCCTTGTTTTTGTTTTTTTATTTTTTTTACAAAAAATCCGATCTAAACAGCCTATGCTTTACGTTTTGCTTTCACTGCACGGCGGTTTGTAGTCCGTGATGAGAGGGCGGTGTGTCGGCGTTTACATTGCCGACCTGTGAGTACACATCGTCCGTCTGCTGCACTCCTCCCGGCGGCGTCATGCGTTTCTCTTTCTGCCTCCGATTGCAGAACCAAACCCGGACCACCTCTTTCTCCAGCTGCAGACTATCAGCCAGGCTGGCGATCTCCTGCGCCGAGGGCTTGGGGCATTTCAAGAAGTGGCTCTCCAGCGCTCCTTTGACGCTCACCTCGATAGAAGTGCGCTTCTTTCGCTTCCTGCCCTGAGCGGCGATCTTGTCGATGCTGGTCGGGCTGCCGGTCGACGAGTCGGCCTCCTCCAGCCACTTGTTTAGCAAGGGCTTGAGCTTGCACATGTTTTTAAAGCTCAGCTGCAGCGCTTCGAACCGGCAGATGGTGGTCTGGGAGAAGACGTTGCCGTAAAGGGTGCCCAGCGCCAAGCCCACGTCGGCCTGGGTGAAGCCCAGCTTGATCCGCCTCTGCTTGAACTGCTTGGCGAATTGCTCCAGGTCGTCCGAGGTCGGCGTGTCCTCGTCCGAGTGCTCGTGGCTGTGGTGCTGCTGCCCGTGGTCCACCAGCTCCGGCGTGTCCCTCAGCCCCGGGTGCAGGCTCTGCCCTCCCGCCTGGCTCAGCATGCCGTTGACGGTGAAGCCGGGCTGCGAGTAGATGAGCGGCTGGACGGCCGAGCCCATGGACGACAGGTGAGCCGTGGTGGTCGCCCCCCAGGCGGTCGGGTGGCCGCCGTGAGACGGCTGGTGAGGCGGCAGGTGGGGTGGGCGGTGGTGGTGCAAGGGAGCGGCTCCCGTGTGCAGCTCGTCCCGGCTCACCACCTGCACCGACGGCTTCACGTCCTGCTGCTGCTGCTGCTGTTGCTGCGGCGGCGGCGGCGGTTGCTGCTGCTGCTGACCCAAGGGGCTGCCTGCCATGGCCGAGGACCAAGGCGAGCCGGCATCGGTGTGCGGCAGCGCCGTCACCCACTGGTGTGCATGGCTGAGCATGTGGCCGTTGCTGGCGATGGCCCCCTGCATGAAGTCGCTTTGCACCATTTTCGAGGGATCGCGGTACGTGGTCGCCTGCTGCATGCCGCCTGAGTCGCTGTGCACGATAGAGTTGGACGACAGAATACTATTGCTCGGCATGTAGGGATTGGACGTCGCTGTCGCCATGGCTTTTTCCCTCTCTCTCTTTCTCCCGTCTGTTTTTTTTTGTAGTTGTTGTCTGATTGCCAGAGATAAATATAAATAAAGTGAGTTGTTTTTGTTTAAAGTTCCTCTTGTTTTTTTTTGCTCAGTTTTGTTGTTGTTGTTGTTGCTGAGAGTTTGTTGTTATGTATGGGATGCTGGTGGGACTTGGGAAAGCTGCTCTTTGACAGCTCCCCGCTCACATAGCCAGTGTTTACCTCGCCGCGCTCTCCCCGCACACCACAGCAAAAAAAGGAGGAAGTTCAGCCAGAGGCTCCCGCGGATTGGCTACCCGCTGTGTGATTGACACCTTCCGACCGAGAGACTCGGCCGCGCCGCTTCCTTCCGGCGGTTCCGATTGGCTGCTTTTTAATTAGGGGAACGTCGCTGTTGTAAGGTTTTGGGTTTGGTGTGTTTTGGGGGAGGGGTGTGGGGGGATGAGGAGGTGCACTGAAGCAGAAAAGCTGCAAAACAGCCCAGCTTGGGTGAATCGAGAGACTGCGTGCATTTTTTTTGATACACCACACACACACGCACACAAAAAAAGTAACAACCCAAAACAAGGACGAGTTGATCATTCCTGAGGGAGCCAGAAATAAAAACAGAAATAAACTTAGACCTCAATTTGCAAGTTTGAGAGTAAGAAATGCAACCGACTCGTTTCGCACTGGAAACATAAACTTCGAATGCGCCAGTTTCCATCTTCGCGATTCATTGCAAAAATAAACTCTGTCTAGCGCAGAGTCCTGAGGTTCAAAAATTGATGGGGACGAAATATTGGACGGTGGTAGACACACGATTTTTTAAAAAAGTACCCATTTCCTGGCGATAGCAGACTTGTTATTATCTGGAAGCCTAAACCTGTATGGACACCCCCCGCAACCGTAAGAATGTCTTCCCTAAGCGCGACTGCTGAAGAGTTCAGAGATGTAACACAGATCTCATTTGAATCTCTGATCTCCAGGTGCAGACGCTGAATAGTCTGTGCCAGAGCCGCAGCAGCATGTTTCCTTTCCAGCAGATTTTCCTTGGACCATTCTCAAACCGAGTCTCGTGGTTTTGTTTACACTGAATGGGGAATATAGGAGCGGTGCCATGGGGCCTTCTTTCATTAATATACAGTGAGGATTTTGTCTAAATTACTGCTACGAATTTCACAGTGCACGCATTTAAAGGCGTTTCAGGTGGATTGATGAAATGTGATTGCGCCGCCGAAAAGAACGACATTTCTCTCCATTAAAACCCTTAAAAGCCAATTATTATGACGGATAGACACCTAAACTATATCTTGTCTTAAAAAATAAACATCTTCAGTAGCTTGTTTCCCTACCAAGAAAAAAAAGTAAAACATCAGAGAGCAATTTGTACTGATTTACATTTGCATAAATTTTCATATATTTTAGTGAAAATAATAGAGTGCCGGGCTCAGTGGTGCCAGTACCAGGGTACATCTTAGAGAGGATCGACGGGGAACAACCCGGAACGAAGGTAAAAAGCAAAGCAAATATTCCAAATATACCAAACTTTTCAACACTCTTTATGGTTTGAACAGCGAACATGCCATTGGTAAGTCACGTATCCTATCTCAAAAGGCTTTATTAACAGGTTCAGTTGGATCGTTAGGATTTGGGGTATTTGAGCATCGGTGACGGTGGGCTCCTTTTCTTTTGTGCTAAATTTTGCTGAATCGATTTGCTGCTCGGCGCCTCACCATTACTGTCGAGGAAATGCGCAGTGGAGAAGACCGGGCAAGGTCACAATTAGTAGGAGATTCTAACATGAATTAGAGGAGCGAAAACGTTTTAAATGATCTCACAGAAATAAAGGTGCACACTGCAGCACACCGTGCACCGATAGCACAGACACTGAAAACCAGCCCTGTGGTTCGTGGGAATCGGTCCACAGTTTCACGATCAATCAGAACTAACGAGAACTTGGCTGAGCTCTCCTGAGAGGGTGTATGGTGCAAGCTTCAGGCATAAAATAACAGGCCGCCATGTCCCAACGTTTAAAACATTTTCTGCAACTTTCCTTCCATTGATTATACAAAGATAACATTCGGTGCACACCGGAAGCACTTCGATTGTCAAGGTCAAGTGTAAAAGAAATCTTCCAAATATGACATTTCATACTGTCTTGTCCTCCTCCGCAGCTCCCATCTTTAAATCCAGGCACTTCATATTATTGAATCCAGAAAAAAAAATTCACGTAGTGACGAATAGAATTAATTTGAATGTCAAGCTTACTTAAATACACACAGCCATTTGTATGTAACCGCGCACAGAGACACGTGTGCGTGTGCATTGAATAAAAGGTATAACAGGACATAATTTTGCACCGTTTTCAACTTTGATACAGGCATCTTATGTCCATTTTTACAGCGCGACTGATTTTTATACAAAAATTCTTTATCTTGTACAGATAATGTAGATTTGCTGCAATAACGGCCTTTATCTGAGCCCGTGTGTTCTCAATTTCATTACATAATGGCATCAGGTCGAAAAAAATCAGTAACAAAAGTCAAGTTTTTAAAAGAGTATTTTTTACACTGTTACATCTCGCACGCTGTCTTCTGTATTTTTTCTTTCACACACGTACGTAATCCTTTCTCCTTCAAGCACATCAAGAGCCCTTTCTATTTCACATAATATCCAACTTCCCCCCCCCCCCCCCCCAACACTCTGTCTCCCTCTCTCACACATTTTCACTCTTACCTTCCTAACTTCCCTCTGTGCCCCTTTGGAACAGATGCCATGTAGAGCTGCTCCCCGAAGATCATTTGTTTTCTTGACGGGGTGCATTTCTGCGCACAGCATTTTCGTTGCCATAGAGAACCAAATAAAAGGAAAGAACAGTAGTCACATTAACCTATATGTTTGTGCACTCGGGTTTAGATAAAGGACTCCATTTCAGCCAGGAAGAACGCTCGGGAGCCCAAGTCAGTGTATAGAGCTCTCTATATAGTCTCAATAAAGGTAGCCGTCTTCTATTCCCAATTATGACATTTTAAAACGTATAGTTTATAATTTTTTTCCGGCTGCTGTTAATTTTGTAAGTCGCGGAGTCTGGAACACACAATGCAAATTTGGGGAGTTTGAAAGACGCTGCTATTGCACGCTGAGGGCGGTAGGGAGCACTGCCGTGCGGGGAAAGAGCGCACAGCACAGAAATGAACGGAGTTTAGAGACAAGTCATGAAGACGGGAGAGAAAAAGAGAAGGCACAGAATCAGTTTTATTTAAGAAAACGGGCCGAACGTTATGCCTTAAAAAAAGTAAAAGTACTAACCATTTATATTAAAGTCAATGCAATAGCGAGACTCCAGCCTCTAATTTGAATTCTGTAATGTCTGCCACTTCTCAGAGAAGTTTTAGTTAATCCCGTTTCAAAACAAAATTATGTGCCACGGTATACAAATATAAGTTAAAAACTTAATATTAGTGGTGTTGAAATTATATGGGCGGGGAAGTGCGTTGCAGGATAAGTATTATGTTTGAAATGACCTTTGTTGTTGAACGTAAGAGATGCAAAAGCCCAGGCGGGAGAATTGCTGACAAACGTCTGTAGCCCATGCGAAATCCCCGGAGCTTACTGAGCACTTGCATGCAACTGCTTGTGAAAAGTATCCGACTAGAACAACAAGCCAATAATTCAGCAATAGTTTTGGTTGTTGTTTTGCAACTTTACTATAAGTGCATTGATGTCAATATTGCTAGTAATCCTCGACCTCTGTTTTGTCATATTGTCTAAAGTTTTTAAAGTGACGAAAAGTACCTTTTTTTCCCTCAGTCCTAACTCATCCTAACCTTTTTAAATAGCTTTCAATTAAGTTTGTAACAGTTGACCTGAATATTGCAGAAATATAGAGCGTTTACGGATGATTTTAGGTCCATTTGAAGTGTTTTCTGATATCCTACCGTAAGAATATGGCGATAGTTTTGTGAAAAATCCAATTTAACACTTTAATTTCGACACGAGAAGCAATCGCCTGGCTGGCAACTCTTCTCACTTCTAAAGATGAAAACCGGGCAAAGAGTTCTTGGTTTAAACCCGTGGACTTGAAGGAAGCTCAGGGATTGATAAAGATTTGTTCAGCATGTGACCCCTTACTAAATTAAATGATCAAATCAAAACACTGATATAACACGAAGAATTGAAGAGGAGAAATGATACGTGAAATATGTTTGCGAGGAAAATGATGAGGATCACCTTGCGTTCGAAACTATTGAAAGACCCAGCGATGTGTAACGAGGCAAGATTCGGCCGTCTACAATTCAGTTATCTTTTTTTTCGGGCTGTTCATGAGTTGCACGAACTCTCCCTATTGCTTAGACGGTGATACGTCTGCGAGATCTAGTTGTCTGCTTTAGACTTTGTTCAAAGAAAGGCTAAATATTTCCCTCGAGTCTAAGAACATTTCCATTCTTGTGTGCATGACAACAAATCTTCTTACGTTAGAAGAAGCCTTACTTAAAAAAAAGAAATAGGCGTCCTACACAACTCCAAGTGAAAATAGCACAGAATCGAATGGTATCCTCTAAAGATTTGGTGAGCCGTGTATAGGTGCCCAAGAGCGCTTGGCTGTGCGTCAGTAACTGTTGAAGATGAAAGCTTTACTCCCTAGAAACACACACATTTTCAAACGGTATAATTTCTGTTGTTTTCTGGTCGTTTTATCTTCGCTACTGTTCCCATTTAACTCGTTACCACTCCAACTATCTGACCTCACGAGTGTACTCTACAATGGAAATGATTTGGTCATTTACCATTGCTAATTGCTGTATTACTTATTGGTGGAGGAAAAATTATACAGGACCGGGATCCAGCAACAGTGTTTGCATGACTCTGCACTTAAGGGTGAGATAGCACGGAACAGCCTGTTTCGTGTTTCTTAATGTACCGTTCTCTTTAAATTACGTTTATTCAGCATTTTAAAAATATTGTTTTAAGGTGCAAACTTGTGTTGAATTTACTGCTGCAGTTTCT